GTGGTAGGATTTCCTCTGGGAAGAAAATGTGAAGTTAGGAACTACAGTCTATAACCTTTTTTGATCTTAGGGTGAATAACTATATGCTCTCATGATTTTAGTTTGTGGTGTCTTACTGTTGCTTGTTTTGGCTATCCATATGAAGGGAATCAGGCGATCCTAGCAAGAGGAAGTCATATTTGCCCCAAGATAAACAATTCTTGATAACGAGAAATGGTCAGTGGCTTCTTTGTGGCCATATAACTGCTGGTTTATATTCAAACTATGTTTTGTGTATGTCTTTTGTTCAGTATATCTGATTTTGATCACTTCAATTGTTATTAACCTGATTTTATCTTCAAAGTGTTCAAAAATTGTGTTGAGTAAGGTAAGTGATGAACTTCTGAAAGCATCTAAAACTTCTGTTTTGTGTTTTATTTTCACTTTCATCTTTTTCTAAAATCTGTTTCCCTACATATTCAGTATATTTTCACTCATAAATAGCCTCATCCCTTTTTTTTTTGGTATATTTAATTTATTCTTTGTGATTTTTTTTATGAGCAGTCCCATGCCTTCGTAGAGCTGCCTCGATCGAGGAGGAATATGAGGCCGCAGGTGGTGAAGTTTTGCTTGATAATGAGGACAATGATGGTTGGCTGGCAACTCATGGAAAACCTAAAGGTAATAGTGGCTCTTCTATTTCATGGAGTCAAAAAGCTTAGATTATTAATTGCTCTACTCATGGTTCCTTGCTTCATGCCTCTCTCATCTGAAGATAAAAAGCATGATGAGGAAGATGAGTTGCCCTCGATGGAGACACTAGAAATCAGCAAGAAGAATACAATTCAATCAATCCCATCTTATTTTGGAGGGGAGGCGGAAGAGGATATCCCGGATATGGCAGAATTTGATGAAGCAGACAACCTTGTTGAGAATGATCCTGTATGTTACAGATAAAGTTTTTACTATTCAAGTAATATGGTCCTCACTTCAACCTCTCTCATCTTATTCTTGTTTATCATTGAATTGACTACTGATGTCATTGTAATTTGCTGAATTATGCAGGCAACACTTCAGACTACATATCTTGTCGCCCATGAGCCTGATGATGACAACATTCTAAGAACCAGAACATATGATGTTAGCATCACGTAAGACATTTATTTAATCTTGGATGTGAAAATTAGTTGATTTTCTGTGCCTTGTCTGACAGTCTTTGCCATAGGTATGACAAATATTACCAAACTCCTCGGGTCTGGCTCACTGGATATGATGAGGTCAGCATTGAACTTTCTGATTGACATTTCTTTTGAGTTTTGAAATATGGTTGCAGTTATATGTTCATTCAACTGATCACCTTCTCAAACAATGTCAAGGTGCTCATTTAATTTATGTCCCAGTTTCTCCTATTAACAAATTATCCTTGTTACTGTGACAGTCGAGGATGCTTTTGAAACCAGAACACGTTCTTGAAGATGTCAGCCAAGACCACGCACGCAAGACGGTAAGGTTCAGTTCCATCATCTTCAGGCGTTTGTGCTAATACTTGGAAATTATTTATTTAAGGTTTTTACTAAAATCACGTGGTTTATCCAGTGTGTTCAAAATCTGAGAATATCACGGAGTTAGAGTGTGGTTTGAAGGTTTTATTAGTTTCTTCTCCTATATTAGTTTCCTTTATTGAATTAATCTGCGGTGTTCTCTGCATTGAAATCAGGTGACTATTGAAGACCATCCACACTTGCCCGGAAAACATGCTTCTGTACATCCGTGCCGCCATGGGGCTGTAATGAAGAAAATTATTGATGTTTTAATGTCAAGAGGAGTTGAGCCTGAAGTTGACAAGTATATATATTTTACTCATACCTTCCTAGTTCAATGCCACGCCAGTTATTTTTGTAATTCTTATCCAAAGACCAACATTTTTTGCGTGAGCTTATCTTCTTCAGTCGTGTCACTTGCTAATATGTGCACAGATGGGTCACTCTTCATTTTGAAAGATCACTTTTAGCACCAATGCTTCATGCTTTCTATTTCAACTAGATCCGAATAATGGAATGGACAACCAGTCTTTTTGTTTTTTATCCTGAATCCTAAGGCAATTTGTCGTGCACTCCTTTCAGGTACCTCTTCTTGTTCTTGAAATTTGTGGCTTCTGTGATCCCGACCATAGAATATGATTACACGATGGACTTCGATATTGGTAGCTCTAGCTGCTGAGTCTGACGGTAAAATATATTAAGACTGTTTATAGAGAATTTTGCTGTTTGCTTGTTTAGTGATATTTTCGGTTGTATTATATAATTTTTCTATATTCAGGTCATTTGGATGTCTCTGGATATAGCTTATCCAACTGAGTTCATTTTAATTACCCAATCAATTAGGTCATTTAGGTCCCAGAAGGATAGTGGATAGATATTTATTTGAGTTTATCGATAGTGTTTGTCTTCTAAACTGATGATTCCGAACTATTTTTGTGCTTTTTGCAGATGGGTCAATTAGTGATATTTTGGGTTACATCGTATACTTGTTTCATATTTAGTCATTCTGAACCTCTGTTTTGTGCTTTTGCAGATGGGTACTGGCAATTTACCGTGAAACTGTGAAGCCCTTAACTCATCTTTGCTACTTGCTGCAACCTGTCATCCTTGTGCATAAAACTCATTTGAACTTACGTACTGTATTTGCTGTGATTATCGGCACTCCCTTACCTGAAAATGTAAATGGATAAATTACTGCGTACTGGCACTCGTCTCTAACTGGTTTATTTGTTTCTTGAGATTGCTTGTTTATCATAATTAAACTCTTTTCGCTACATGGCCTCTACGTAAACTTCTCTTACGCTACTTACAAGAATATGGTTTAACAGCCAGCCATTTATTTTCAACAGTACGACTACAATGTGAGTTATGTTCTACGGTTGAGACCAGAGGCCAGATCGACTTTGTTTGGTAAATGGCTTTTTGTCTAGCTTTTAGCTATTTGAAGCCATTTTCAAGTATTTGTTTCTAACATCGTAGTTTTGGATAGACATGTTCTGTTATTATGGGTTTTAACTATTGCTAAGATATATTTAATCCCTGAGTCTTTGCAATTTGAATCCTTCATTTAATAACATTTTGCACTGCGTTTTACCAATGGCTGAATTAGAATAGACGAAATCAAATAATATGTGAATCATATCAGCCAGGTACAATCGGACTCGATCCTTTTTTTGACATTTGTTGGTTTGATTCTCTACATTTGACATTTGTTTTGTTTATAAAGCAAAAGTAATAGTGACATACACAATTTATTGCATTAGCATTTGTATTTTCACTTATATTGTAATTTTATTTATTTTTATCTCTTCAACTAAATGATCCAAATTTGAAAACCTTGTTAAACTTGGTTTAGGAGGAGAGTTGGATGATTTCACATGCTTGTATAGTTTTATAATGAACACATGAAAGATTAGGTGGTTTTTATTCAATACGATTCGAGATGAAAAACTTTTTTTCCGCCGATGAAGTACCAATATGTATAAGAAAACTTAGATTCTTCACTTCTATTATATCTTTGTTGGTCATACGAAATCCCCTGACGTACGGAATTCATGTATTTCCGTTCAACCCAACAGTTCTCTCTCTAAAAAGTCTTCCTCTCTAATCTTCTTCTTCCTCTCGATCCACCTAACCTCTCCACCGAGATCTTGATCGAGCCCGGCCTCCACAACAGAAAACTAACAACAACAACAACAAAGGATCAAGTGCCTTGCCTTCCCGCCTCCACAGGTCGCTCTGGCCTTATTGTTGTCGGCGATGACGCTGGCGTTGGCGCAGCCATCGTGTATGTGACATCTCGATCGAGCCTGTTTGGTTGAAGGTCGGGTTGCCGCAGTTGAGGGGGTGGTGATGGCGACACTTTCTCGTTCGATCGTCGTCTTGCGTTTGGCCACTTTGAAAGATAGATCGGGTCCGAAGGTGTCAGATGTGGTTATCCCTTGACATCTCGAAGTCGGGAGTTTCTGGATTTGCTGTTTTTGGTTCATGATAGTGTCCTTTGTGTGTCCGACTTTGATTTGATGGCTCAAATGGTGTCTTTGGCGAAACTTATTGGTAGCTGGGAGGTCTCTAGTTTATAGTTAGTCTGGTGTTTTGCTAGTTTGTCGTTCCCATTTCATTTTGTTGTTAGTCCCCTTTGTGCAGTTTTTTAGTCTCCTTTATAGTTTAGTTTAGTTTTTATGAAGTAGTTTGTCTTTCTTATTTGGGAGTTTTTGTGGGGTTGTTGCGTATGGAAGAGGAGCTTGAATTGGCATAAGAAATTTGATAGACACAAATACACAATTAATATATTTTGGTAATAGAACATTTATGGTGATGCAAATAAATTTGTTTGGTTTTGATTGAGTTTATTAGATAAATTCAGTTAATTTTGAACATATATATTAATTGAGTAGGGTTTGTGTTTATATTTAAAAATTAATAATTAAAATGTAATGATTGAAATGGATATGATTTAAAAGTTAAAGGTATGTGAATGAAATTAATTAGTATGAATAGTGAATGTGGTTGATGTGGTGTTTGAATATGATTGATTAATATTATTTTATTATATTAATAAAAAATAGGAGAGTTAAAGTTGGATTAAAGTTAAAATAATTTTTAAATTTAAAATTTAAAAAAAAAAAAAATCAGACCAGTCAAAATCAAATAAAATCTATTTCCAATTGCGCCGTCACATGATTGGAAAGACTTTCTTGATCTTTGTAGCTTCGATAAGCCTACCATTAAACATGTCTAATAATTAGACAATTGTTTTCAATTCTTATGCACTCTTTAAAATGACATAGTTTGAAAAGAAAAGTCGCAAACGAAAATTCAAAACATAAATATACAATTTAATGTTATATTACTTACAATTTAAATACTACCAAAAATCTATTTGTAGCTCGGTGGCTTCTGCAGTAATTCTAATCACTACAGGTTAGGGGTTCGATTCTGCCCTCTTTCTCTTTTCTTTTTTCTTTTTTTTTCTTCTTCTTTCATCTTCTTCAATCTGCAAATCTGCAGAAAAATTCCTTCGAAATTTTTACTATCGTTCACGATTTTTTGTTTCCTACAGAACAGGCCTTGGTGATTTTGGAAGCTGTTCGCCTGTTTCATGGATCCAGATCCGCCGCCGCCGTCCGCTCCACGAAAGGTCTTTCCATATCCGTTTTCACTTTCAGCTACTCAACGTGATTTTTTACAAATCATTTTGTTTTAACTGTTTCATATATCGATGCTGTTCAGGTCAAGTTTGCTCCTAAAGCACCCGCTCGCAGCAGAACGCCGAAGCCCCCAGCCGCGAAAATGTGCCCTCCGCCAAACTCAAACTCAAATTTTCGTTTTGTTCTCTGGTTCGTATTTGATTTTCGCTTTTAAAACTCTGAGACGAGAAACTAATTTTGCAGCGAGGCGGCGGATGACGACGGCGATGAGGACGAAGCTGCTAGACGGCGTCTCTCTCGTAGAATCAATGTAAACGATTTTTCTCACTCTCTCTCGTTTTCTGCATATATATGGTTCGGTTCGTGTGTACTTGTGTAGATTTACAATAATTTACGAGTTTTGAGAATTTGTTGCTTAAATATAGGCTCGCCCTTTCTCTGTGCTGTGAGCTTTATAGATTATAAATTATCTTTAATCTGTTTTTTAGCATTATCTTATTTATAAATAATTATTTCACTCCAAACATAATTATTAATGATAATATTGGTACTGAGGTCCTTTTTTGGGGTAATAAATAAGTAGGTATTGCCTTCATTTAATTGATGCTTCAAAATTCTTAGGACTTATTTAGTTATTTATGTGTTTACCTATCCAATTAATTTGGTCAAACTTGCTCACTCATTGTGTGTGTATTTTTTTTTTTTCTCAAAACAATCTCCTTGTAATTGTGTAACATCTTCATGTTGTGCAAACCCTTCATATAAAATGGTGGTTGATTTTTGACATTTGTATTCAAAATTTCTACCATGAAATTTTAACAAAATCCACAAGTTTGTTGCTGCGATTATGTGTTTATTACCTCTAGTGTTGTTAAATTAAACGAGCCTGGCTCGGCTCCGCTCGAGCTCGGCTCTTTAAAGCTCGAGATCAGCTCGTTAAGGCTCGAGCTCGATTTTAGGCTCGTTAAGAGCTTGAGCTCGAGCTTGAGCACCCTAAGCTCGAGCTCGGCTCAGCTCGTTAACAGTTCTAATTACCTCCATATTTATCCAGTCACACAGAGAATCACAAGTTTGGACTGTATTCACTTCTCTCTCTCTCTCTCTCTCTCTCTCTCTCTCTCTCTCTCTCTCTCTCTCTCTCTCTGTGTGTGTGTGTGTGTGTGCGTTTATTAAACTTGAACCCTTTATATAGCTGTTACTCGAAAATGATCGTCACTTACGAGTAGCAGGAGCATGCATTATTCAATATGTATATTCATGGAAACTAAGCATACAGCGAGATTCTTACTGCTCTTCTTTCTTCCCTACTATGTGTAGGAGAATCTCTCCAGGCGAAATGCGAAAGCAGAAAGCAAATGTAATTCCTTTTCTGCACTTGACCCTTTTTAATATGCCCCAACACATGTAAATTATTTCACATCCCATTACTTAAAATTTAATTCATTGTCTATAAATAGTTCACAACGACTGCAACTACTAGTTGGTGCATTCGTTTTGATATTTTTGACAAAAGAACCAAAAAGCAATCGGACTTGTTTTGGTTTCGTTCTTTCAATTTATTTTATTTTCTTTTTTCTTAGTTGATCACCTTATGGTGTTTGATTTATTATCATCAAAGCTCATTTGTGGACTTGATAAAACTACAGCATCAGACCAAGTCACGTTTTCGCTTAATGCTCCATTGACTATTTTACGGACATATGGGAAACAATATGACAAAAGTGATTCAGCTGATCCAGAGACACTCTACGGCACCAGTGAGGCAGCTAAGACGAAAAAGGAAGCTCCTGACGTCATGCAAAAGCTTGATAGGACTATATCAACTTCAGGACAAGGATTCAATGAAAATTATGTGGATTTCTCTAATAGTGCTCTGGCTGTGAAGACGAAAAGAGAATATAAAGAACCTTGGGTAAATATTATGTCCTGTTCCAAACATGTGTGTCATAAAAAAGAGCAAAAAAAATCAGTCTCTTTTTTAGTTAACCGTTAGGCTTTGAATGTATATGCAGGATTACCATCATACTTACTGCCCTATTACCCTACCTTGGAGGAGGCCTTATTCTGGAAATCCAGGTATTGCTAAAACGTGATCATACAACTTCTAAGTAGAGAACTTTCTGTTGTCTTCTTTTAGAGAACACATAACACGATAGGTATTTGGTTGAGAGATAACATTGTTGCAGCTGCTGCAAAATTTATTTTTTTCTCTAGCAAGGAATCCGATAGCAATACCGGAGAAGTAGGAGATTGGCAGTATTCTTTGTAAGAACTAAGAGAGTATCAAGTCGGATTAGTTTTCGTCTGAAAGTCTTTTTCATGGGTAGCTTAAAACGTATTGAGATTTTTCCTTTTCTTTTTTCACCTCCTTGTTGTCTTATGCCAGTCACCTGGTATCAGAACCAGGGGATTATCCTTCTTTTTTTCTGTCTCCATGCTTGTTTCTTTCATTGTCATCTGAAGCTTTTCTTTTTTCCTTTTCTTTTTCGTATTGTCTTTTTTACATTATCATCTAAAACTCACTTTTTATTTGTTCAATTTTGCCAGAAATTCTTGACAAAGCAGAATTTGAAGATGCTTCAGAATATGACGAAAATACTGTGTCTTCTGCTTCTGACCTTGGATTGCTGGTATTGTTTATCAACTGTAGAACTTCTCTTGGCTATTCTATTTATGTATATATATGTGTGTGTGTGTGTGTGTGTGTGTTTGCCATAGCAGAGATACCGGTATGGATTTTTTAACGAGTATTTTCACTGATTGTCGATTTTATTAACCATAATTAGTACTGAATATTATATACAGGACCTAGATGATACACCGGGAATGCTTCTTTTCAAATTTCCTTCTAATCTTCCCTTAGACAATTCTCGGCCACCAAGGAGCTCAAAAGGCAAAGAAATAGCTGGGAGCTCTTTAAATCAAGAACGTGAGCATCCCTCTGAGAAAGGCTGTAAGTTGGAGGAGTTGCCCGAGGGTCTCATGGGGAAAATGCTGGTGTACAAAAGTGGGGCCGTGAAGTTGAAGTTAGGAGATGTCTTGTATGATGTAAGCCCCTTTTCGCCCATCTTCATTCTTTCATAATTCCACTTTCTTTTTTTCCGGAAAGCGAGTGCCTCATTTTGGATGGATAAGATAAATTGTGTAATACAAGCTATATGACTGCGTGAAAGACCATGGTTTTACCAGGCAGGTGCTATTAGTGCTTGTTCAGCTTAGTTAAAGCAAGATCATTACTATGATTCGAAGTGTCATTTTGATTGGACTGAGATATGTGGTGCTTGAAATGTTAAGAGTTCCCCTTCGATCTATGCTTGAAGTGTCATTAAAATATATATATTTTTTTTTCCTGCCTTTCTCTGGTAGTTTAGTGATTACATGGTGTCTGATTCATACAACTTGCTTACAAGTTGCTTCTGATGTCTTTGTCTACTACTTTAAGTCGATGTAAAATAAAACGTGACGAGATTTATTACCATGCACTGGCTTCTGCAGGTTTCGCCCGGTTCAGACTGTAGTTTTGCTCAAAGAGTGATGACCATCAATACCGCAAATCACGAGTGTTGCGAGTTAGGAGAACTGAGCAAGCGGGCCGTGGTAACTCCTGATATTGATTCGTTGATGGATAACTTGATCGATCTTGGGTAAAGCCTATATAGACTACCTAACAAATTCTATTCGAGAGATTGCTGCAAATAATTAGGTAACTGACTCCCATTTGTACTGCAAATGTTTTGCTGTTTCCTTTGGACAAAATCAAACAACAGTTTCAGAATGTAAGCTGTGGAAAGTGCAGAAAGTTGGCATTTAACATTAGAAAATATGTGAACGTCCGGCGTGCAATTGCAGATTGTACATTTTTTGAACAAGTAGCTTAACTCCAACAATTGGAAATGCTTAGGTTACCTTTTGTTTTATGTTCTTATATATATATATATGATAAATCACCTATAACCATCCGATTTTAGGAGGATTCTCCCACCACACCCATAAAGGCATGTGTTGATCTGACGGCTCATATCTGTTATAAACTTCAGAATGTTGTGGGCCTAGAGCTTCGAGTTGTTTATTTAACATTGAACTTAAAGTAACTTAGGAAAATTATCTTCATGTTCACCATCACAAGAAAAATCCGAACTAAAAGGTTTCAGATGAAATCCAAAGATAAACAATGCTAAAAACACGTCTCCGTTTACTTAATACACAGAGCAAAAACAAAAAAAAGAGTGCATTAATCTCCTACCTGGGAATATTTCCATGTAAAGTCAGCGAATTAAATATAGCGTCACACACTCTTGGCTCGATTGACGACCACAATTAGGAGGACAGCAATTGAAAGAAACAAAGAAGTTTTTATCTTCTCCTGCAGTGAATCGAACGCGCCTCCTTTCTTCTCCTCGTTTGCAAACTGAAACACCATATTTGCAAGCTGCACCATCATGTCAATAAGTTGCGTTATTTTCTCTTTAGCGTTCGAGAAAAACCAACTAAGGAACAAGCCCTTCGCTGGATTGTTATCATCACCGGAGGTCTTGTGCACGACTTTGTCTCCTTCTTCATTAACTAATCAAACCCGGTCAAATGTGAAATCAAGTATCAGATGTTATAATAATAATTAACTTTCAGACTTGGTATACATGTACTTGAAAAAAACGAACCTCGGCTTATTGAGCCTCTAAGCTCTTCCTTCACAGCCTCGTTGTTCAACACAGCTTCCCAAACAGTTCTATCGGACGATAGTGCTATCACCATTCTCTGTAAAATTACCAAGAAATTAAACTGAGAATGCTCAAAACCCCACCAAAGAAAAGGGTGTGAGTTGTGACAATAAGAAAAAGGAAAAAAAAAAAAAAATCTAAAAATACTAGATAGTAACTAATTTTCCAGCAAAACACAAGCAGCCCGGGTTACTAAACTGCGATTTGATAGAAGAATTTTTCATATTTGTTGGTTCAGTCAAAATTTATCCCAATCGAAGCGGAAAATGAAACAAACTGAGTGGACTCTGGCACCTGCACAGAAGGTTCACTTTGCAACAAATGGAAGGCGTCGTAAACCCTCTCGGGCCCATAAGGACACAACTTTCTTGAATTGCCGAGAGTAGGTGAAGGCTCAATCCAGTCGAGCTCAGATAAGGATGACGAATTTATCTTCTCAGACTTCACAGTACTTTGATCTTCATTTTCTACCACAATGAGTTTCTCGGTTGCGTCATATGCAGGGGACACAGGTCGAAAAGCCCTTCAGATTAAAATTTTTCACTCAAGCCGTTCAAAAAAAGGTCGTTAAGAACTTCGAAACACTCAAAGCCGGGAAATCAACAAATCACCACGCATTGACTATATAACATTGGAGCAAAGACCAAAAACAACTAATCTGTTCAGAATGAATCTTCCTCTCAGATACAGTATAGGTTAATTACATTTAGCACAATTAACAAAAAAATAAAAGAAAATCTAAGCTATCACACACATACATGCACTTGAAGTTTGTACATTTCTTATCAAATAACTCCCTAGAGGTAATTGCCAGGTAAAACAAGCCAAGTAATAAAAGAGTCGGGCTTGAGTCTTAACAAGCCGAGCTCAAGCCTTAATACGACAAAGCTATTAAAAATTACCTAAAAAATCATACTTCAACTTTAACGAGTCGAACTACTATAAATACATAAAATCCCTATTTCCAGCTGGAATTTGCATAATCATAATCTAATTTTCTGAGAATTAAATTAAAAAACAAAAAAAAAAACACTTACTGTTGAAGAGCAGAAATTGCACAATTCACCTCATCTCTTGATGGCACAGTGCCAAATACAAAATTATAATCAGAAGCAATACCCCTTTCATCTCCATCGCCCACATCCAAACACTCCCAATCCACGTCATCATCACCGCAGGCTCCCCGTGTGGCGGGTGCAGATGCACCGGGCCTTGGAAAATTGATCGCCGTCGAAAAAGTCGGCGACTCATTTTTATTGCAGTTGTTATAAGGGTCATTCGATGAAAGGCCCGCTTTGGGTTGGTTTTTAACCAATTGTTTGGCTTCTCTCGAATCGGCGGCGGAGACGGTGGTGGGGCCGGCGGACCGAGAGAAGGGTTCCGGCGGGGCGCCTCCGCCGGTCCTGATAGCCCTTTGGATGCTTCTGAGCGTGCGGCCACCACGTCCGCCGCTACCTCCGCGCACGCCGTTGCCCTGGAATGACCACCGCATGACCTTATCTCTTATTTTGCGTGAAAGTGATTATGTTACTGTGGAACTGTGACACTATCGCGTGTGATTTTAAAAGATTTTTATGTACCCAAACCCCAAGGTGAGGACTTTCATAATTTATTATTTATGGAATTTCAATTTAACTAATAAAAGTTTTTTTTTTTCTTTATAATTATTGATGGATAAAATGTTTGAGATTATCTATATCAATATTCCAATTCAACTCAACTTACTAATTAAAAAAATATTTCTTTTATCTTTATTTACGCATTATCTCCGAGTCAATTCAACCTGAAATATTTATTTATATTTTATTTTACAATTGTGTTTAAAAAATGTGAATGACAAGATATGAATTTTGTATTTTTTATTTAATATAAATTAACATCCCTCCTCTTATCTTTCTTATATATTAATTCAGAACGCGCTAAGCCTACGTGGCTGCTTCTGGTGCTTTAGAATCCTATGTGGCAAAATTACATACTTTGTTATTAGGCTTGGGTAAATTTTAATTTAATTCCAAACCAAAAATAATTAGGTTCGGATTACCATAAATATGTTGATTATTTATGGTAATATTACATGTATTAATTGCATTTTAATATCAATCCTTATTATAACTATTGAATTGTATATATATTTTAAAAGTTAATAACTTTTGTATTTTTTATCAGTTTTACATATGTAATATATAAAATTAATATTCTTTTGATGATTTTCGATTTAACATCCATATTGTATGTATAAAAAAAATAATTTATATTATCTTTATAACAATAATAAAATTATTTTTAATATTAATTAGAAAAATAAAATTATTTATCAACTAATA